GAATGCCCATTAAGAAACTTCCTATGTCTAGACTGAGGTATGTTCTTCTCATACCTGAACCACAAGACGTTATTATAATTATTGTGAATGAAGCGCAACTGAGGTTTCTGAGAGAGAGGGATGGTGGGGAGTGGGTTGCATGCAAAGGACTGGGTCGCGAACAGTAATGGGTATTACAGGAGGAGGTTTGGAGAGGCCGAGCAGAAGGGGGGTGTCCGAAAGGACGTTTACTGGCAGACTGTCAGCTTTATTAGAACCAGGGGGTTGACTATGGGATGGTTAAGCAATTAGACGTCATGATAGAAGCAGGGAATGAAACGAGAGTTGTAAAAAGTCCATCAATCACTGCGCAAATCATGATTATTAGGAATAAAAGGAAATGACAACAGTGTGCTTCCAAAGAAGAAGGTAGCATGTGACACACTGCGAGGTCAGGATCTAGGATTGGGTTTGTGTAATATACTAAATCACCCACATCTTCTGGATTTGAGGGATCTCAGTTGATATATGTTGTTCCTAACTTCATATTTGCCCTGCTATCTTGCATCGCTTTCAGCTCTAATCAGTATCTCTGCTCATGGCATTATCTACCCACACTGAGGAGTTCTCAAGTTTATTTTGCAGTTCTCAGAAGATCACCAGATAAAGCCTCCATCCGCAGTGTTACGTGCCACATTGAATATGTGTGAGTATGTGGTTTTGAGCAAGTCTTTTGATACACAAGACCTGTCTTTGACCCTTTGTATGCCTCCCTGGAGCTCATCTCTGTCCCGGCTGAGACCAAAGGAGACAGGAATTAAGAAGGCAAGACGAGCACTGACAATGGGTTCCAGACGTGGTTAAAAATCTGTTTGTCTGAGCACTAAATTCTCCTTTTGCTGCTTCCCCAAAAGGACTTTGTAAGTTGATTTATCCAGTAAGTTTATATGTACCTTTACTACATCATTACTCATAAAATGGATCACGAGCTTCTGTCCTAGAACAAAACAGAGGCCTTTATTTTGAGAGATGAGCCAAGGCAGTTTTAAAAGACAAGACTTGTGCACTATATTGCTAGTTAGTGTAAGAAAAACAGTTAAATTTATGACATTATTCATTGACAACTGCTTAAATTTTACTATGTTCCTCACTCAAAGCGATCATATTTGTTTTAAAATAGCATTAATTTCGTTAATGAAAAGCATGTTCGTTGGTGAGCTTTTTCCCCATGACGAGATGACAATAAGGTCAATAAACGATAACTGTGACTATATCAGCATGCAATATTGTTGACGATAAAAGAAGATACTAAAATGTGTTTTAAAAAATAAAAACTATACCAAAATTTATTTTTATGTTCATCGACCACTCTACTACATGTTTCATTAACAAGGTTCGGGAGGAGCACGATCAGATAATGAATCAGTCTGGCCCAGGTGGCACTCGTAAGCTAATCACCTTAACAAGCACAATACGTATATATACAGTCAACTTACCTCTGTTCCACGACAGTTTTCCAGCATCCTGCCTCCACCCCAACACCTCACTCTTAATCTAATTTCATCCCATTCTTGGGATGGGGATGGGGGGATGGGGGTTATATTTTATAAAATAAAGTTATCAACATTACAAAATGGTAAGTAAGCGCTGCTTTGTTTACATTTCATATATCTCGTATTTCCTTGTTTCAGTTTATCCTTTTAAATGACGAATATATCCTATTGATAGCTGCTGATATGGACCATGAATTCCTCTCACGCAGACGCAGAATGCACGTGTTAGTTTGCAGTCGGTTGTAGTCTGTGCAGTGTGTTCAAACGCAACATTTTGGTCCAGACACTGCCGACACGAAGCGAAAACATCGCTGGCTTTCGTAGCCACTAGTTCTTTGAAGTCGGCTTGGTGTGTCCTGGCTTTAAGGAGAGGAGGTGGGAGAGGGAGGCTGGGAGGGAACACAGGAGAACAGGAGCTGGATGGAACCAGCGGAGACTGGAGAAATAGGGACACATTGGCTGCGTCCGAAACCGCTTACTCAATGAGTAGGTACTTAATTTTATTAAGTACTTACTTAACGAGCGCTAAAAGAGTAGGTACTCTACAGCCAAATCTCGTTAAGTATGAATGCGATCCAGGCATCATCCGCCATGTTGACATTATCATGTGATCTACTACGTTATAACAAGCGCAACAGATACGAGCGACAGGTTTAATTGATCTCTTTGTAAATATTTTGATGTTTATGAAATTTTCTCATTTTGTAGTCTTGTTGAAAAAACAGCTGCCCTTTTATTGTGACTGTAGTATAACCAATACATTTTGGGTTGATTTAAATTTTTATATTTTTAATCCTACTAATATGACCCACAGTTTAATCCTTAAATATATTATTATTTATTACTAAAACCCAAAATCGTTATTTCTTGAATATGTTGTTACTTTATTTTATGTGCAAAATTCTGTTTTCCTCTTTTTCTTGTTGAATTTATCTCTTGTTTCATCCCTCCGGCTTATAAACAACAAATGCAATATTTTGATGGATTGATTATATGAATATTATGATTATTCAGATATTTAACCTGGTCATTGTGCCTTTTTTTTCTGTGCATATAATGTATGCAAACCCATTATATTTATGTTTTTTGCTTTTTGTCATTGTGATTGTTCATTGTTAAAGATAGTAGCATCTTTCCCTGAGCTTGTATGTAATTATAAGTTCTGCAGTATTAATAAAAAAAGAACATAAGAGGGACAGGTGCACTAACACCTCATAGCATCAGTAACAGGACAAGCCTACCTAGTACAGTTTTCCTCAGCGTTTGTAATATCTGCACAAAGGAGACGTCGATCAGCTGGTAGAAGACAAAGGAGACATCGATCAGCTGCTAGAAGATCTTGCCTTTGGAGAAGACTGTTCATTTTACATTCAAAAAATGTAAGTATTACTACTTAGAAGTTAAGATTACCCCAGAATGCATTGCTAGCCCACCCCAACACTTTATTATGAACAATAATAATGATAAATGCTGACCAATAATTAGCAAAATGTAATTTGTTTTGTCATATGCCATAGTTTTGCATGACTACACACTAGACAAACGCAGCCAAGGTGAATACATCTCAGTTTTCAGTCAAGTAATGAATTAATGCACAAGTTAATGAAACAATTATATTTTATTTACTGAAAACAGGAAACATGAATAAATGAGTAAAAATAAATAAAAGTAACCATGACAATAAATAAGTACAAGTCATCGACACATGAAACAAAGCTTTATTCAAACATATTGTTCTAACAAACGTATTTACATGCGGTGAATCCACATCTACTGCATCTCAACACAGCTGAGCCAGTTCTGCAGCTTTATTCTGATGAAGCAGCTGACCACTGTGTCCACCTTCAGCTGTCTCTGCCGTCCATCACGACCCTCACTGCTGCAGTCAGACTGAATCTGATCACGGATGAGAAAGGGGCATCAAGGCTATCGTTGTCTGAGTGCACAGAGAGGATGAGGAAGACCATGATGATGCTCCTGATCCACACAACCCTGAATAAAAGCAGGAGAACATGTGCGGGACAATCTGACTGTCACTCTGTCTGCTCCAAACATCTGTGTGCTGCTCTCCATGAGCACCACTATCTGTAAAACATTTAAACAGAGTAAAACATTTTACAATTAATGTTGTCAGCATTTCATTTCATATGTTGACAATTACAAGCTACTTTGTGTCATACCTTCATTACTTTTGTGGTGTAGTGGGCTAAAGCACTGCACTGGTCAGCAGAAGGTTACTGGTTCGAGCTCCGCAGCCGTCACCACCGGTGTGTCCTTCAGCAAGGCTCTTTACTCCAGGTGGCTGCTGGGGGATTGGGGTCCCTGTAATAAGAGCACTGTAAGTCACTTCGGATAAAAGTGTCTGACAAATCAATGTCCCTGTAATAAGACCACTGTAAGTCACTTCGGATAAAAGTGGCTGATAAATGTAAATGTGATTTTTGTAAATACATTTTTGTGTCTTGGGCACAAACGCTCAATAAAGCTGCTTATTTCTTAAAGTTTATTTCTTCAAGGTACTACTATAATATAAATGCTTACATATATTTCATACAGTTTCTATTTGGGGGGTTTAAAGGGTTAGTTCATC